GGGCTCCTGTGTGGCACGGGAGCGCTAAGCCAGCACCTCGATCTACAGCTTCAGAGCAGTAACCCCGATGTGAGGCATGAGCACAAGCAACGGTCCGAGGAGGACAAGTTGCTCGTTTTGCCTCTGGAGCAGAATCGGTTGACGTCTCTGCAATATTTGAGAGAGCTCACATATTAAAAGTAAAAATAGGCAGCTAAAGAACCCGTTTTGCCCCCCAAAGCAAAAAAAGCTTTCTGGTTTTCCAGTTTGCTGCTTTGAAGAGCAAAAAGGGCAGAAAATAGTAACACGAAAGGGAGAAAAAAACCCTATCGGGTTTGTAAGAGCGTGCCTGTGAAAACCCTGAAATAGCTTCCCCGTTCTCTCTTGGTGCATTTTTTCATCTGTGTGAGGCTGTGATGGGCAACGCCTGAGCCCGTCAGTACCTTCTGCGGGTGTGGTGGAACGCGGCCGCGCAAGGCCCACCACGCACGGCCACGGCGCTCGCTGGAAGACGCCTGGCGCACGTGGGGCACGCCGACGATGGTACAAATGCCGCGCACGCTCCCAGCCAAGCCCGAGGGGGCCCAGAAAGGGAAAAAAAGCAGAGGAAAGTAAACGAGGCTCCAGGGAAATTAAGGCAAAGTGGAAGTCCTGGCAGAGCGAGGTAATAATTTCCTTTCTGAATGAGTAACTGTTTAGAATTTAACCAGGCGAACACGATTAAACCAAATGAATATAAATTTTAGGTGCGGTAGTAAGTAATGAAGTGAAGAAAATGAACGGCGCCTAATTAACAAGAAAATAGGATCTGCCATAACGCGTTGGAATCTAATGAAAAATGAAGGCTCAACTTCCCCTTTCAAAGTTTTTCCAGATGGAAAATACCCCCGTTTTACATCCGGCGCCTTCCGAAATATCGGGGGGATTACAGTCGCTGGGAAGAACTGTACTTGAGCAAACGACAGGGGCAGAGGAGCCGTTTCGCCAAATTCCCGGAGAAGTAAAGCAGCTGGAAGACGACCGTCCAGCGCTCTGCCCGAGCGCGAACCCAGATGTGCCCCTTTCTCACGCAAGGTGAA